CCCAGCATGGGCCAGCACCACATGGAGTTCAAGCCCAGAGCACTGGCCCATCCACCAATCCCTGGGTTGCCCAGGGCAAAGGCAAGTGCTGGTGGCCTATCAAGGGCTGCTTGGGGTTTATTTCTCTGTGGATACTATCTCCCCAGCCCATCTTCATTCATTCCATTCTGTAAGTCAATAAATATTGAGTGCTGCTATGTGCCAGGCGCTGCTAGGTGCTGGGGACACAGTGGAGATCAGACACCATATTCTCCATCTGAAACCTCTCGGCCCCATGTCTTCTTCCAGCCAGGGCTGCAGGATTCAGTTCTTTCAGGCTTTGACCAGCTTTGAGCAGGTGCAGTGGGACAGGGCTCCCTCTAGCCATGCTCATACTTCTCTTTTCCAGCCCCGGGGATCCTCTGAGGCCATGGTTTGAAATGTCACAGAAAACTACTCAGCACTCTAGTATGTACAGCCGAAACTGCCAGGAAGTTAACACCTGTGACCATGCTTGACTAATGGGGGTGGGGGCTCATGGAGAAATGATTCCCCCTTTCAGTGCTGGGTGGACAATTTGGTTTCCATTTCCCAAGCCTCCATGGGAAGTTTCGGAATGTGAACACCGCTATCTCGGTGGCTGATGCAGTAATACGTTTCTGTATTGGCTTTCTCTCATTCCTTGTTTCATGTCCCCTGGTCCCTCACTCCTGCTCCCTGAGATCACTTCCCATATTACCTGCATGAGCATTTGTCTCAGGATCCGCTTTCAGGAGAGCCTAAGCTAAGAGCAGCAGGGAACAAAAGTCTCCAAAATTCCCACATTCACGGAGCTTTTATTCTGGTTGTGGAGACAGAAAATAAGCAAGATAAATATGTTAAAATATGTTAAAGAAAATAAACAAGATAGTATGTTAGATAGTGATGAGTGCTAAAGGGGGGAGAGGAAGGCCAGGAAGGGGGCCAGGGTGTTAGGAAAGGAGACGACAGTTTCATTGAGGGTGGCCAAGGATGGTCTCACCATTTGAGGCAGGACCAGATGAAGCTAAGGCCAGGCACACTGATATCTGAGGACCTAGCACTCCAGGCAAAGGAAACAGAGCCTGCAAAGGCCCTGCCCATTCAAGGAACATTAAGGAGGCCAGCGTGGGTGGAGCACAAGAGATCAGGAGGCAGTGAGAAAGCTGGTGGGAGAGGTCACGTGGGGCCAGGTGGAGCCTCAAGGTCATATAAAGGGTTCCAGCTTTTACTATGAGATGAAAAGCTGTTTGGGGGACAACTACCATTTGAGAATATTCAATTTGGGATTTTTTATTGTGGTAAACATAAATATCACAAAAAACTTGCTTTCTATGTGGAACAAAATTCAGAATCATAAGAAAAAAAAAAGACCAGGTTTGCTGGTCTGATAGAGCCTGGTGAGACCCCTGAGATTATGGCCCCTAGTCACCCTTCAGGTCTGCAACTGAACTCACTCCTGTTGTTTCCAGCCAAACAATAGATAGGCATATGGGGTGAACATTTACATCAGATAGATACACTTCTTGGAGTGATCAATCATGAGAGAATAGAAGGGCAGTGTCTGCACAGGGAGATAGCTGGGGGGGTGGGGTGGGAGTGCACGGGAGGGAACGACACAGGGAAGAGGTAACTATGAGGAGGAAGTGGGAAAAGAGCTGTTACATTGTGGGGAATGGCAGTCAATGTCATGAGACAAAATGTGTATGAACTGCGGTGTGGAAAAGGAATTTGCTCTGTAAACTTTCACCCAAATCACGATAAAAATTAAAAACCCAAAAACTTGCTTTCTTTCATTCTTAAGTGTACAGTTCAGTGACGTTAATCACATCCACCATGCTGTGCCACTGCTACCACATTGTACTTGGAATTTTTACACAAAGCCTATCTTCTCTGAAGCATTTTATTGTTTTATTTTTATTGTAATTATAACAAGAAAAGTCCAAGATCTAAGCCCACAAATCCCCTCTACCTTGCCATAATGAGTCACACACATATTGTCACTTTCTACGTGTGCTATGGTGTAGAAAAGTACTGGTTTCGAGGGTCATTCTTCTTCGTGACAGGAGGCATCAAGATGATGTCATTGGCTTTGAAGCACAGAAGGGTGCAATAGCAAAGAAGTCCCCAACCACAGGATGGAAAAGTCCTCTCCACGTGTTCTGTCTTGCACTCTGGTGAGTGACTGAGGTTTGGAAGCAAAAGAGGAGCTAAGTGTCTGCTGGAGCTCAGTGTCTGTAGGCACCAACCCAGGAGCCCAGGGCCACACAAGCAGCTGCTGGGGCAGCAGTGGGGAGCTGCTTAGAGGGATGTCTGTGTGGTGGTGGAAACCGGAGAGGGCAAGTTGACCAGAAGTTTCCTGCTCCAGGGTAATGTGATTTTAGATAAGCAGACTCCATGCCACCTTGCTGCCCCAAAGGTAGCCGCCCTCTTCCCTCCAGGCTCAAAGAGACTCCTCAGAGAACAGCCCCGGCCAAAGGGCCAGGGGGTTGCCAGCCAGCCACAGGGCTTGACCAGGCCTCTGCTGTGAGCCCGTAAGGTCACAGTGTAGACCAGGCAGAGGCTCCAGCTGCAGCTGCAGTGGCTGTCTCGCTAGGAGACCCACAGAACCAGCCGCAGCCGCCTGTTTTAGCATATGTCCAGTGCCTGCACTGTGTGGACACAAGGCGACGGAGGCAGTTGAGCAGAGAGGCCAGGTTTCCAGTGAGATTCTACCCAGGTTCAAGTCATGGCTTTGCCACCTACCAGCTGTGTGCTTTGGGCAAATTACTTAACCTCTCTATGCCTGTTTCCCCATCAAGAAAATGGAGATAACAAGAGGTATTACATAGGGCTGTGAGGATTAAAGGAGTTGTTATTTATAAGATGCTTGGACTAGTTCTTGGCACAAAGTATACTCCACAATGTGTTACTATTGTGGCATTTTTCTATCCTTTCGAAAATCACTCTCCTGCCCTTCCTGACCTCACATAAGACAACTCAGGCCTGCACATATGGTAGACCAAGCATCCCACCACTTAACGTCTGCGTGTGATGGACAGTTCCTGCCCTTATATTGAGTTATTCAGGTTTGGGGCTCTTGGTGTTTTAAATCTATTGACCTGACTACTAAGAAGTTACCACAGGCATGATAATAACACCCACCTTACAAAGAGAACTGAGGAGATAGTGCCTGTGAGGTAAGGGTAGGAGCTCAGGAAGTGAAGCCACTGCTGTCCACCCTCATTCCAGCCTCTTTAACCCAGGATGACCCAAACCTTGGGGCAAGAAGGTTGGGTGGACTGACGCATGCAAGTCCTGCCATCTCCAGCAGGGGGCAATCAGCACCAAGCTTTGCTTGGCATTGAGCAAGTTAACACCAGTCCCAGTCCCAGGGCACAATAAATTGCACACTAAAAACCAAACTAAGGAGCTCTGGTAGCGTAGTGCCTAAAGCACTTGACTGCTAACCAGAAGGCTGGCAGTTCAAACCCACCAGCCACTCCTCAGAAGGAAGATGGGGCAATCTACTTCCGTAGTGATACTGCCTCGGAAACCCAAGAAGGGGTTGCTATGAGTTGGGTGTGACTCGACGGCACATAACAACAAAACCAAACTCACTGCTGTGGAGTGGGACCCGACTCATAGTGACCCTTCCTTGGGTTTCTGAGGTGGCATGACTACGGAAGTAGATTGCTCAACCTTCTTTCCAAGGAGTAATGGAGGAATAAAGGTGCTTTGGTGGCGTGGTGAATGAGGCATTCTGCTGCTGACCAGAAGGTCAGCGTTTCAAACCCACCAGTGACTTGGCAGGTGATTTACAGTCTTGGAAACCCAGTGGGGGTCACTATGACCCAGAATCCACTTGACAGCAGTGGGTTTGGTTTGGTTCTGGTATTTGGAGGGATAGTCACTCTGGTCCTAATGCCACAGGTAGATTTGGGAACACTGCTCCTTTCCTGACCTTTGGCTTCCCTAGTTCCCCATCTGCCCCAATTTCCTGATGAGGAAACTCGTGCCATACTTTGCCAAGCATCAGTCTCCCAGTTGGTAAAATAGGTGGTGTGACCTCTATCTCTTTCCCTGAGATTTACCACAAGTGAATTTCTAGACTGAACGGCAGCACCGGCGGCTCCGGTGCCACAAACAACGCTAGGACGGAGCAACACCAAAGAATGGGCGAGGCCATCCCAAACCAAGAGCCGCACCACGACTCGCTGATCTTGGGCATCCATGTCCATTCTGCCCCTACAGCTCTTGCACCAACGAAGGGTTTGCAGGCCAAGATTGAGAACTTCCTCAGCCCATCCCCAACCCAAAGAGCACAAAAGACAGACCAAAAAAAAAAATCATGTCTTTATTGTTTGATTAATGAGCTGGTCTGAAGGGGCACATGGGGAAGGAAATACTCAGTTTTAATGAGTTAGAAATTCCTGTTAACTGTGTAAAAACATGAGTGTTAAAAAAAAAAAAAAAAAAATCACGTAAAAAATAGGGTCAGCCAAGCAGCAGCCCTTGGGGCCGATCAAGGCACCTGAGAGGCTGAGAAAGGCCAGCCTGGCCTCAGGGGCCTGGATGAGGGGCAGGTGGGCTCCTCCTTCCCCAGAGGGCCACACTCACTCCTCTCTGTTTACAAGTTACTAGACAACCGCCCTCAACCGGGCACAAGTAGCCCTGGACAGGCAAGGCACTGCCGGAAATTAGCCCTGAGCAGAACCCTGAGCTCCCCCTTTCCCAGCCCCCCTTGGTTCCTCCAGGAGTGGGGAGATGTGATGTTCCTGGACGGAATCCGGAAGAGGCCACTGTGGAGGCTCTGGGGGAGGGGACGCAGGCCCGCCCCTTAGCGACACTGTGGCCCTGGGTGGGCCCCGCAGGCAGCCAGGGCAGCCAGCAGACACGGCTGGACTTTGGTCACTGTGCAGAGAGGGGCCACAGTCTGGTCCAGCCCCCAACGTGGACTGACAGATTCGGGCGTGGCACGGTCCTGCAGGAGCCGCTGTCCCTGTGGAGGTCCAGGTGGGGCCCTAATTGGGGTAGCACATGCAGCACCCGGCGCCCGCTGCCTCCACGCCGGCCTTGGCGCCTGGCCCCAGGAGCCCGTCAGTTACAGAGTACTCCTCGATGATGTCCTCCACCCGGGTGATGTATAGGAGCGTCAGCAGCACCCCCAGGAACTGAGGAGCAGGGGCAGGGCTGATGAGGGCTTGGTGAGAGCCTGTCAGGAGCCCTCATGGCACTGGGTGACAGGGAAACCCCACAGGCAGACTTCACCCCAACCCAGCCCTGCTTGGGCAGCCCCAGCCTGGGCCCTCTTCTGCCCCTTAAAGGGGAAATCCAGAGCCTTTCCTTGTCCCTCATCAGCAGAGTCCCCTCCATTCGGGGGGATTCCTGTCTCCACCTCCGCGCTGCCACTCACTGTCTGGGGGAACTTGGTGAGGTCTCTCATAATCAACAAGCCACACTTTACCTGAACTCACAGGCTGCCCACCACCCCTACCTGTAGCTCCCCTCTCTGTAGGAGGGGTAGGACACCAGCCCACCTGAGGGAGCAGGATGCCCAGCAGGATGCCAGCCATGATGGTGTAGTTGTCCATGAACCAGATGAGCACGGCGTTGGTGCAGCCCCGCACGTAGATGACGTCCTGCACGCTGAGGCGCTGCCCAGAGAGAGGGGCAGGGTGGGGGAACCTGGTGGGTCGGCTGAGCACCCCGCCCAAGCTCTAGTCCTGATTCTGCCATTCTCTGGAGCTCAGGCCAAGTCCCTCAGCCTTTCTGGTCCTCGTTCCCTCACATGCAAAGTGAGATGGCACATTTGGTTATCACAACAATCGGGACTGGGGAAAATCCTGAGCTCCACAAGCAACAGCCCTGCCTGCATGACTCTCAGATGCCCCCAGACTATTCGTGTGGTGAAAACCCACTTATAATTATGAGCCAAAATTCTAACTCCAGGTACATAGAAAAACCCAAATATTTTCTGCATGGTTTTAATATGCCCTGAATTGTTCAGAAATACAAGTATGTAAATAAATGAATGTACTTTATTTTGTCTGGAACTTTATGAAGAGTTGTTCACCAGCAACAATGATGCCAATGGATGTGAGTTATCAACACAAGCCCCTGTCTCAGCTGCCTCCGCAGCCGCTTGACTCACAGATTCCTGAAGTTGCAAACATGTGATGACTTCATTGTGTCTCCTGCTGTGTCTATCTTGTGCCTGAGCATTTCCATATTGAAATATATAATGGTTCATTGTTTTATTTTGTTTCTCGCTCTATCCACAATCATTGTGTTGACTGCTTTGAAATCAGATGTGTAGGTAGGTAATAAAAAGTCAGTTGCCATGGATTTGATTCGGACTCATAGCAACCACACGTGTGTCAGAGTAGAACTGTGCTCTACGGGGTTTTCAATGGCTGAGTTTTTGGAAGTTGATGACCAGGCCCTTCTTCTGAGGCACCTCTGAGTGGATTCAAACCTCCCACATTTTGGTTAGCAGCTGAGCACATTAAATGCTTGCACCACCCAGGAACTCCAAACAGGGCATTACCAAGTATAGCAAAATCTATGAAAGCTGGAACTTGTGTAAGGTGGAATATGTGTCAGAGAAGGAAAATGCAAACATTTTCCACTAAAAGGAATGACAGAGCTAAGACTGCACCCAGTCACAGGCAGAAAACTTGTGAGACCTGGAAAAGCAAGGCAGTTCCTTGGAGTTCCCACTCTCATACATTTCACTGCATTTATTTAAAAAATGGCTGTTGATTCTAATAGGCTAAGAACCAGTGCAAGGCTGTGGTCCTCAAACTTTACTTTGCATCACAATCACCTGATTGGGGAGGTCTGGGAGGTCTGCCGCAAAGCCTAAGAGTTTGCATCTCTAACAAGTCCCAGGTAATGCTGCTGGTCCAGGGACCCCATTTTAAGAGCCACTACTCTCAGGCATCACTAAAAACCAAACTCACTGCCGTCGAGTCGGATCTGACTCATAGCAACCTCTCCTTGGGTTTCCAAGGCAGTATCACTATGGAAGTAGATTGCCCAACCTTCCTTCCGAGGAGTGGCTGGTGGGTTTGAACTGCCAGCTGGCAGTCAGTTGCCTTAGGCACTATGCCACCAGAGCTCCTCAGGCATCACTAGGTCACCCTTATGTTTAGTTCCTTTCTTAGCACCCCCTCTAGCTTCTCTCTTCATCCAGGAGTGTCACCCAGGAGGCTAACCCAGAGAGGTCCCCCAAGAGGATTCACTGGGTCCCAGGCTGTGGGAGCCAGTTTGAGCCGTCTGCAGACCAGAGGCTCCAAGGGCAGAGGCAGGCTGGCACTGAGCACGGCTGGGCATGAAGGCATTCCTGAGCCCTGGAGGTCCCAGCAAGGGCTGTGTTGGGCCTCCCACAAATAAGCTCACAGTAGATTCTCAGCAGACCCTGGCAGATGGCCTTGCCCAGGCTATGGGGCTCCTGGCTCCCTGAGCCTTTTCTGGTCAGAGTTGAAGTGGAAAGCCCCACAGTCCCTGGCTCCTGTTTACAACTGGGAATGTTGGGGAATTTCAGAAGCCCCACCCCTCAGAGCCCCTCTGATCCTTATGAGGGTGAGACAGGAAGAGCAACATTTCATGAGAGACATTACCTCTTTGTCGATAGTTTTATAGCCACACATGGTATTGATGACTTCTGTCTGAAATGGAAATAGTAAAATAGCTAACATTATTGTTCTCCCCATTTTACAGATGAAAGAGCTGAGGCACAATGAGATGCACTGTCCAAAGTCACAGAGCCAGCACTGGTGGAGGTGAGATTCCAACCCGGGCAGCCGCCTGACTCCAAAGTCTGCACCTCAACATCCCCTCCCTCCAGAAATGCCCAGGGAGGAAGAGTCAGGTGGCTGGGCCAGCAGCCACCAGCAGCCACAGGGACTCTGAGAAGAGCATGCTGCTTTAGCCCCAGCCACCACCACCTTGACCTGCTGCTTCACTGACACAGTCAGAGGTCAGGGCAGGGCGGTTGCTGCTCTGCTAGTTTACCAGAAGGAAAACCTCAGGCCACAGCCAGGCCCCTAGCCAGCTGTGGTTTACCTGAGGGTGAGAACTGGGTCCCCGGCTAAGCTTCACAGACAGTCATCCGCTCAGAGGGCAGGGGAGAGTGCTGCCGACAGTTCCTTCATGGGAAGAGAGACCTCTCTGCGACTCCCAGCTGCTTGTTACTTTACACTCAGGGAAAGCCACAGTCAGGCCCCAGGGAAGCAGCCACCAACTGTCAAATCCCTACCCTGCACATCCTAAGTCACAAGGCTGGCAGGGGCACTTCCTGTCTCCCCTCCGTCCCCCAAGAAGTCTCCTTTCCCATGTATAACATGAGCAAGAACCAGCCCCCAGTCCAGGCCACCACCCCAGGCCCTCCACATCTAAGTGAAAACGGCTGTGGGTTGGAGTGCCATGGGTGGCAGTGACACCCTTGATAGCAGTAGCCGAGGGGCCAGCAGATCCTGTTCTGCCACTGTTCCTCTGTGACCACCTCACGGGGCTGCCAAGGACTGGCACAGGGGAGATACTCAATATAATACTTGTTGAATGAATGAATGAATGAATGGAGAGGCCCCTCAGTCACTTCTGTAAAGCAGTGACAATCAGTGAAGCCACCTCATGGAGTTGGCCTGTGAGATGCACACGTCACGTGCTAGCATAGGGCTGGGCTCGCCTGTGAGAGCACTCTCCATCTCAGCCCCAGGAAGGGCATCTGTTCTCCCTCCAAGAGTGCGGGCTGGGCCTCAGATGTCATCAGATCATGCTAAATGTCAGGGCTTGGTGTGTGGGCAGAGAACCTCCCTTGGTCTAGACTGCCACCCAGGTGCCCTCAGACCCAACAAAGCCCAGCATCCACTTGGTGGTCAGCATTGGTGGCACTGACCTCCCAGACTCCACACTGTGACCATGACTCTCACGGAGTCAGGCCTGGGGAGTATAGTGCATGAGAGCATGATAGCAGTAGATGCTTTCCACCTCATTTGTTTATTCGTTCATTCAATCGATAATATTGAGTACTATTTTTGGCACTTGGAATACAGGAAAATAAAACAAAGTCCCTGTGGAGATAGCTCAGGGGCAGGAATGCTTGGAAAGAAGGACACAGGGAAAAGGTAACCAGAGGGAAGAGGTGGGAAGAGAGCTGTTATATTGTGGGAATTGCAATCAGTGTCACAAAAGAAAATGAGTATGAACTATTGAATGAAAAATGAATTTACTGTATAAACTTTCATCCAAATCACAAAAAAATCTACTAAATCTGATAGTATAAAATTTAAATGTGTATAATGGGGGGGGGTCCCTGTCTTCGTGGAACTAATATTCTAGCAAGGGGGACAAATGAACCAGAAAATGAACAAAAAATAAATAAGTGAACAGTATAATGTGTAAGGGGAGCTCTGGTAGCATAGTGCCTAAGGCACTTGACTGCTAACCAGAAGGCTGGCGGTTCAAATCCACCAGCCACTCCTCGGAAGGACGATGGGGCAATCTACTTCCGTAGTGACACTGCCTCGGAAACCCAAGGAGGGGTCGCTATGAGTCAGGTCTGACTCCATGGCACATAACAACAACAACAATAATGTGTAAGAAGGTGACAAGAAACAGTAGAGTTAGTCCACTGCACCAGCCCTGGAGGCTGAGTCAGCCCCTGCCTCAGGAAGCACCAAGTCTCCCTTCAGATCCACAACCGGTGTAGAGGCCTTTCCTTACACCAAGAGCCCAGAACCTCCCCTGTCCCCTGGGAGAAGTTGCTTCCTCTGCCAGGAAAGCCCCGCACCACACTGCAAGATGCATCCATGGTCCTTCCAAAGGCAAAGCCTGTCTGGGTTTGACCACAGAATTATATTCTTCAGAAGGCTCTGCTGTAGGCTCACAGGTGCTGAGGTCAGCTGTCCAGTGGCCTCTCTGTCTGGCCCAGGACCATAAGACAGGAAATCAGAAAGGGGAGTTTTGAGCAGCCAAAAACAGTGACACACCGGAGCTCACAGAGGTTATTTGTGTGTGCTTCCTCTCATCCTGAGACACGGGGTGGATACGCTGGGTTATCCAGGGTCTGAGTACCCAATGGAAGCAAGAGAGAGGCCTCCTGGGACATATTCCAGCAACAGGGCAGCTCCTGGGCCCCTTCCTCGAGCCTTTCCCACTCAGGCGGGAAGTCCTGCCTTCACAGTGGCTCAGACTAAAACCTTGGCCTCCTTCCTGATCTCTCTCTCACCCACCTCCCACATCTGACCAACAGCAAATCCTGCTGGTTACTTTCAAAACTTAACCAGAATCTGGCCACATCTGAACACCTTCAGCACCTCCGCCCGGCTCTAGCCTCTGCTTATCCTGCCTGGTGTGGTGGATGCTGTGAGGACCCCTTCAGCTGCTGGAAGTGCTGCCAGCAGAGACCCTCAGCTGTTAGCACCCTGTGGTGATGACTTCAACTGAACAGAGTTGGGAAGTCCCTTCTCAGGTGGCCATCACGAGACTGTCAGTGTGAAGTAGCAATGCCTGGCCCCTCAGTCCAACCCAGGATGGCTCTGAAGGGCCTGTTGGATCATCTTCCTGGGTTTGGCTGAGGCCACTCTTGAGACTTGACCACTGCCAAACTTCTCCCACTGCCCAACCCTGCTTCGGCCTCCTGCTTTCCACAAATGGTAATTCCCCTTACTAACCTCTTGACTCTGACCAGCAGCTCAGAGTGCATCCTGAAGGGACCTACGACACCTGGCTCTAGCCTCCTGATTGAACTCCCTGTGTCTATCCCTGCCCCATGGTTTGTTTTCAGCACAGAAGCCGAGGGATCCTGGTAAAGCCTAGGTCAGACCCTTCTCTCCTCCACTGAAGCCCGGCCTGGTCCCTGCCACTCAAGGTAATGCCAAAGTCCTTACTATGACCTTCAGAGCAACCAGGGCCTCTCTGATCTCATCTCCTACTGTTTCTGCCATGCCCACTCTGCCCCAGCCACTCTGGTCTCCACACTGTTTCTCAACCATGGCAGAGCTATTCCCACCTCAGGGCCTTTGCACATGCTGTTCTCACTGCCAAGAAGCTACTCCCCTAGATCCCTGCAAGGCTCACACCCTCACTTCCTTCAGGTTCTTACCCAGAAGCAACCTTCTCAGTATTTAACATTACCATCCTCCAAGTCACTACTGAATTTTTCTCCTTAGCATTTACCACCTTCTGACACATTACATATTTTATTTCCCAGTTTTCTCAACAGTTCCATGTTGGGAGTGATTTCTGTGTGTTTCCTATATTCCCAGAAACTAGAACCATGGCTGGCACATAGTAGGTCCTCAACAAATATTTGTTGACTGACTGACTGAATGAATGAATGAATGAATAAATAAGTACAAGCTGAGCTTCCATATCTCAACTTGGACATCCAGGCACCACTGTGCTAGGTGGCTAATTTCAGGATCCCCCCTCACAGGCCTCTGAAAACCCTCAGTGCCTCCTCAGTGCTCCCCACTGCCCAGACAGCCATCCTAAAATGGCAGCCAAATTTTCCAGAACAGCCCAGGCTTTTTTAGGGCTAATGCACTCAGCATGGGCTCCCAAAAACCTGTGGGTGGGGCCCCACCCGCACCAGCAGCTGCTCGGTTTACAGAATCGGCAGTGGGCACAGAATGGTGGAAGCATCAAAAGAGAAATTTTCCATGACTCTTCGGGGCATGAGTAATTGCCAAACTCTCTGCCTCTTTCTAATGCAGAAACAAGATAATTTCTGGACACATTAGTCAAGCACAGAGGACTGGTGAAGCCACTAGCTCTGAAGCAGCGATTGCACAGGGCAGGGCTCCACACGGCTAGGGTGGTGACAGAATTGGGAGGATCATGGTGGGAGAGGCAGAGGCTAGTGTTTATGTCAGCAGACCCCCTTCCAAACGCCCAGTTGCTGATGAGCACCAGGACCACCAGAGACATCAAAGCGCAATCCCTGCTCTGGACCTCCAGCTGGCAGGCAGAGCTGGCCACCCCACTGAGCTCCCTGGCCTGCCTCTCCCGCTCTCAGCCTGGCTTAGTTCAGAGTAGTTCAGAGTGCAGCTGCCTGCATTTCTCCCCAGCCCTGTAGGTGCCTCACTTTCCTCATCTGTCAAGTGGGTCCTATAACAAACAGTGCCTACCTCCTCACTGGGAGAACTAAACGAGTGAATGCAGCCAAAGAACTTACCAACAGCACATGACAAGTGCTCACTAGCTGTCAGCCACCGCTACTCATGAAGACAAGGCCTCCCCACTGCACCCCCAGGTTTATCCCTTTTACTAGCCTCTGAGGCTCAGGGAAGCCTGGACTCCAACCACTACCTCTTGTTTACCACCCACCCACCCACAGCACCTCTGCCTTCAACTTGGGCAGGTAGAAAGATGAGAGAGGTGCATGACCAGTTAAGGTGGGCCCCAACATGCTCCCACCCCCCAGGTAGCAGGTACCGTGTTTCTGATGCAGCAGGTGTAGGGCACCCCGCAGGCCAGGGGCCCCGGGGCATTGCAGTCATGGTACTGGTTTTTGCTCCAATCTCGGTAGTCTTCTCCACCACAGCACTTGAACTGAGAAAGGAAGCAAACAGGAAAGACAGGCTGTGATCATTGCCAAGGCCCCCAGTCAGATGGCAGCAGGGGGCCCTGCCAGGAGAGGGATGGGTGGGGCGAGGCTGCAGGAAGCATATTTTATTAAATCAGAGCTGTCCAGAATGACCAAGAGATGATGAGCACCCTGTCACTGGGAGGCATGCAAGCAAGGCTGGGCAGCCCCAGGGTGGGATATCATGGCAGTGATTCTAAGATGAGCTACGGGGGAGCACATGAGGCTGTGCTTTGACAGGTCAGAGCATCCAGAAGAGTAGGCGCGGTGAGCACAGATGAAGTACTGGGCACAGGGCCTGGCACCAAACACGAGCCAAGTGAGCATTAGTCATCCTCCACCCCCACCTCAGGGAGAATGAAATCCCAGGCCAGCTGATGGCCAGTTCCAATGAAAACATTTTGCTCCACCTGGAACAGGGCTTGGCTCTCCTGGCCAGAGCTGGCGGGCATGTCCCTGGCAGAGAGAAGGGCCACCAGAGGCTGCACCTGTTGTGGCCACAGCAAGGAGCCAGGAAACTCAGGGTTGAGTCAAGGGAGTAGTCACTGAGTGTGACTTGGCTTGAGAGAGGTTGGAAGGGCCAGGCCAGCTGAAGCCTCCAGGGTAACGTCTCAGGAAGAAGCTGCTGGGGCTTGGTGATTCTGCACTCCTCATGTCCACTCTGCTGTCCTCGCCCACAACGTAACAATACAATCATCAAAGTTCCAAGCACTTCTGTTGAACCAAGCCGAGGTAACCCTCACACAGCCCTAGGAGGAAGGAGCCCTATGATCCCCTTATGCAGATGAGGAGCTTGAAACTCAGGACTGAATGAGAACAGTGGCTGTCCCACTGCCACTGCTCTTCTTATAACACCAACACACTTGGGGGAAACGGACAATGTCCCCAAAACAACTCATGATCATCACCACATTCAAAGAAGTGTCATGGAAGAAAGAGAGGAGACTTGCTCTGTTCCCCTAATTGGGGAAACTAGGGTTGGTGAAGACCTCTTTCCCCACTGGGCTGTCTTTGACTTGCAGGGGCTGGGAGGCTTGGAAGTCACTCTCACCTCAGGGACCTTTGCACATTGGAGACTACAGCACCCTCCTGCTTCTGTGGCATTGGGAGAGCTCCGGGGCCTTAAAGTGGCTTGTAGCTACTCCTGACCTTGTTCCCTCATCATCTTCTTTTTTTTCAGGGGAGGGTCCATGTGACTGGAGAGGGACAGGTAGGACGAGGACATCCTCTGCCAGGTGCATGGGCAAAGGACTAGGTGAGAAGGTTGAGGTCCAGCTTCACCCGGAAAAGCCACCTGACCCCTCACTCCTACCCTCTTGAGTAGGTCCTAAATGGGGGACAAATGGCATAGGAAGCTCACCTGTTTCTGAACAAAGTCCATGATGTTTTTGAAGTCCAGGTCATCATAGTAGTTCTCGATTCCTCTTCGAATATTGTCGTTGAGAAAGTCAATCGTCTGTTAAGAAGGAGAACTCACAAAGGAAAAGAACCTTATACACCTAGAGTCCAACCTGAGTTTTCCTAGAAGTCTGATCAGTACAGAGTGCCCACAGAGTCCAGGGAGCCCCATCCCTGCCTGCATGGTGTACCCCCTCCATTTCTTAGCTTTGAACACTCATAACCCCATTCCCCCACACCAGTCCCCATCTGGTGCCTGAACCCCTCTGCCATGTCCCAGCAGAAGTGGTTCACTCCATTCCTTATGGATCGGACACCCCAGGTCCCAAGGACATTGGTGTCCTGCCAGCAGGCACATAGCTCTGAAGCAGCAATGCTGGGTGAGGACTGCACTGTCCTAATTCCTGGTCTAGGTCTCTTTCTCCCACTCAGACTCAGGCCTGAGCTGGAATCTCCCCTTCATCCCTCTAGCCCCTGTCTCCACCCTTCTCCAACATTCAAGTTCTTATTTTACAAATGAGGAAGTGGAGCCTCAGAGACAGGCCTGACCTGCCCCAGGTTACAGGGCGGGACACAGCACGGTCTGGCACTCAGGCCTTTGACTCCCTCGTGGGGCCTCTTTCTGCATCTTTGCAGCTCTCCGGCCCACGGCCGACACAACCGACCGACCCTGGCAGCTCGGCCGCAAGTTTTCCACCAGGAAGGGCACTGGCAGGCCACTCTCTCCCAGTCACGCTGGGCTTTCTGCATCAACAGCCCTGCTGTTGTGCTGAGATCCGGGAGCACAAAAGGCCCCACAGCGGGGAGGGCGGAGGTGGGGGTGTGGACGCCAGAGCGCCACTCTCACTGTGACAATGGGAGCTTTCAGATACAGAGGCCTGCATATCACAGAGACCACACTGGCACAAAGGGGCCATTCTCGGCTCTGGGGCCAGGCAGAAGAGCCAGACTGATCCTGGGGAGGCACCCACGGCATACGTGGGACAGCAGGGCCTTAGGTTCCAGGCCTTCCTGCCACCGCAAGACCATTCATGGCTCACTGCCTCTCTCTGGGCCTCAGTTTTCCTACTTGTGAATGCACGCTGAGGCTTATCTTTTAAATTTTTTTTATTGTGGTAAAAATATATAGAACAGAACATTTATCATTTCAACATTTTGTACATGTATAAATCAGTGACACCAATTATGTTCATTCACCATGTTGTGTGACCATTGTCACAATCCATTTCCAAGCAGGCCTTTCTTGAAGATAACTGCTGGCTATGAGGCCCAAAGACTAAACTGAGAAGAGTTCTCAAGCCTCATCATCAAGAACACGGTCCCTGCTGCTAGCTAGACCACGGACACTTAATTTAACTTCTGAGTCTTGGTTTCCTCACCTGCAGAATGGGGATGAAAATACTGTCTGCCTCTCAGGGATGTTGTGAGGTTTAACCAAACTAAAACAATGACTGTGTTATTAAAGAAATACAACCAGAATGTTCCTTAGAAGCAGGGATGGGGAGACTCTGACTTGCTTACTTTGGACATGTCATCAGGAAAGACCTCGTAGACATAATGGAGAGGACATTATGTACAGTTGGGGGTCCGTGAAAAGGAGGGACACCATCCATGGATGGATTGACACCATAGCTGCAATAATGGGCTCAAACACACCAACGAGCATGAGGAACGCCCGGGACTGGACAGCATTTCATTCTGTTATACATAAGTCCCCATGACTCAGAGCCAACTCGATGGCTGCTAACAACACTACCAACACACTACTGCCAACACACTAGTCAGTGTGTACTGAGGAGGACACCAGAACATGGTAGGGTGCCAGGTACATAGTAGGTAAGGATATTATTATTATAGATCCTTGTCTCTTTCCTGGAAGACAAACACTCTTTGGCTCCACTTCACATCCATCATATCATCAGTGGAAAATGGCTGGCCCCAAGAGAAACTAAGGCCCCCAAATCTCATCCAGAAGAACTACCTGATTAGAGGCAGCCATCAGGGTAAGAGTCCCTGGGCTTCCAAGGCAGGTCAGCATTTGGCCTGAGACCATAGCTGCCAGCCCAGAGAGGCATGTGACTTTTCCAAGGTCACACAGCTGGTCAGTAGCGGAGGGAAGCTGGAACCAAGGTGGCAAAGCTTCCACTTGATACCCTTTAAAAAGTCAAGATAAACACCCAACGCTCAGTTTTGGGGTCCTCTCTCCAAACTCTCTCCAGTATCAGGAAGAGAGGAACAAAGGGATACAGTGGCCACCTCCATCCTGAGAGTCACACTGTTCAAAGCCAAGTTCATGAAGAACCTTGTGCAAGGTCCCTGTGGCCAGAAGGAAAACCCTCTGCTGAGGAGAAATGGCAGCTCTCTCCTGAGCAGACACAGGAGCCAAGGTAAATGTCAGCCCTGAGAGGAGAGGATGCAGGCGGCAGAAAGGCACTGAGCTCACAGCCTGCTGCTCAGGTCTGGCGCTGGATTGGGGAGAGGGTGGGTGTAACATCTGCTGTGTGGCCTGGCCTGGGGTAGGACTCACTTGGCTTCAAGCCCACCCTTCCCAGAGGCCCCCAGGTCATGATGCCTTTCCAACCCTGGGGGCCTGCTTGATGAAGTGACAGGCCAGCTGGCTAGGGTGTGGTTAGGGGTGCCAAAGAAACAGGTCACCAGGATGGGGTCAGTCTATCACTAGGGTGGGGCAGGGGGATTCACTCATGGAAGTAAATGGCACATTGCAGGGGACCTTAGGCTGAGCTGAGATGAAGGGGAGGGATACCAGGACTAGTGACATGCCTAGGTCACATGTATGTGATGTGTGTCCAGTGCTTTCTCCTACTCTTACAGCCCTGGTCCACTGTGTGCCTACTGTTCCCTCCCCTCTGCCTCCTCTCTGATCCTCCCAGTCCCTCTGTTATCTCCCAGATCCCCCAGAGCAGAGATGGGGTGGGAGGAGGCACCAGGGCAGGAAGAGAAGCTGCAGGGGGTGTGCTCAGCTGCTCAGTGAGGAAAGACTCTCCCGCCTTCTGGGGAGCAGCCCGGCCTCTCTCCCCAAATCATCTTTGTCTCTGAGCATTTCCCAAAGGCAGGCCGACTCCCAGAGAGGCCTCTTTGTGAAAACCAGGCCTTCTTCCCGGTAAGCTGAGCGGGCCCTGCAGGCAGGGGAGGCCCTGTGGGAGGCCTCTTGGAATTGGGAGGAAGAGCAGATGGTCCCAGACTGACGGATGGTGTGGGCTGCACGGGGCAGCAGCTGCCTCCAGTCCCATCAGGGGCTTCTTTGGATCATGCTGGCTCTTGCAAGTGTCCCCTGCCTTTGGTACCATGTATGTGTGTGATTGTGACTGTGTGTGAATATGTGAGTGTGTCTGTGTATGTATGTGTGTGTGACTGTGTGTATGTGTGAGTGTGAGTATATGTGTGAGTGTGACTGAGTGTATGAGTGAGGAGACTGCTAACCAGGAGGCTGGCGGTTCAAACCCACCAGCCACCCTTGGAAGGAAGATTGGGCAATCTATTTCCATAGAGATACCATCTCAGAAACCCAAAGAGGGGTCGCTATGAGTCGGATCCAACTCAATGGCAGTGAGTTTGGTTTGTATGTATGTGTGTATGTGTATGAATGTATGTATGTTGTGTGTAGGTGTGTGAGTGTGACTGTGACTATGTGTGAGGATGCATGTGTGTATATGAGTGAGTGTGACTGTGTGCCTGAGTATATATGTGAGTGTGACTGTGTGAGTATGGGTGTGTGTGTGTGTGTGTGTGTGTGAACATGCACCAGAGAGATGTGTCCTCCATACTAACTGGTTCCTGTGCTGTGACTGGAGAGTAGGGAGGGTCTTGAAGGTTCATGAGAGAAAGAGGTAGAAGCTGATGGAGAAACTTCAGTTGTGTGCTGTGCTCACTGTAAAGTGCTGTGCCAATATAGTCAAGCACCTGTAACACCTGAGGAACTGAGGAACCTGGTCAGAGGATAGGCCTGGGGGAAAACAGTAAGGGAGCCAGGCTTCCACAGAGGCCAAACAGGCCTAGTGCCACCTCACCCAGCTCTAAACGAGGTCACTTCAGTGGGGACAGCTCCCGCGAAGACAAGAAAACCACCTTTCACGAACAGCTGGCAGGACCTCAGAGGTCATGTGCCCAGGCTAAATTAAACAGAAAGTAAGCAAACATCAAAGCTGTCAGGGCACATTGGTTAAGAAGCCATCAGGATCCAGCTACAAAGAGCTGTCATCTCTAGTGCTTTCTTTTAAATCTAGTTTAAATATACCCAGAGCCTCCACAACACCTCTTCCTGTAGCGGTGCCTGGAATGTTGTGAAATGAGTGAGGAACTAAGGCAGGGATAGGGTGGGGGGTGGGCAGCCCCCTTCAAGATGGGAGGCCAGTGAAGTCGTAAAAGATGGGGTGTGGAAGGGGCTGCAGCTGGAGCCACTCATCAGGTTTTGCCCAGAGGGACCCCAACCCCTTTTGGGCATGGAGCTGCCTTGGGCCCCTAGGGCTGCCAGGAGCTTCAGTCCTGAGGCCAAACTCCTGCAGGCAGCCCTCCCAGTGTCCATCACTCCCATATTACCTTCTGAGACCCAAGCGTGTGTGTGTGGGGGGGCAGTTGCTGGCAGCCCAGCCCGACACGCCTGCCGACCAGGTTCTCATAACCTCACTGGGGGAGGATGGGGAACTGGCCTTCCTCCCTTTGTGCCAGGGCTGAGCCATCATCTGGGCTTCCCCAGCCCCTTTCAGAGGTGGATGTGTCCTCTTTGCCCTAGATGCCAGCCTCTGCCAGGTCCTGAGATGGGCCCAATCTGGAACCAAGGGTGGAAATGAATCCAGACAGTCAGAAGGAAGAGGGTAGAATGCTGAGGGTCTTTAAAAATATTTTCCAGACCCTTTCCTCAGACCTGGCTTAATGTTTGAGCCTCAGTGGGGTATGCGGTTATGCCTCAGTTTCCCAGGTATTTTGGGCTGAAGCCCTCATCACAAAAGGCTGTCTTCAGTGGCCATAGCAGTGGGAGTTTGGTCAGATCAGTGCAGAACTTTCTTTACTTCTGGAGCCATCAGAAGCCTTGCTGTGGGTGGGAAGGATCCAGGGTCAGATGCTCAATACTGCAGGCCACGGTGCCATCCCCTCCTTCCTCCCTGCCCCTGACCTTAAAGTGGGCCAGAGCCAACCACCTCAGAGGACGGGCCCTAGGGGAAAACAGTGGAGGAAGTGAGTGTGTGTGGTGTGTGTGACCATGTGTGTGTGAGTGTGTGTGTGTGTGACTATATCTGTGCATGTGATCAAATATGAAGGCTGAGTGCTCCCCTCCCTCCCTAGCCTGGCATTGGGTATGACCAGGCATTGGGTATGACCACAGCACCTTTGATCAGGGCTGGGAGAGAGACACCACTGTCCCCTCCTACCCTGTGGTTGAGGGAGGGATGCCCCGGGATGGGGGTACAAATATACCAGCTATAGCCCAGGGCCTTCTGGGTGTCCTTGATCAGCTCTGCCTGATTGTACACTTTAGCAAACAGGGAACACACGGCAGGAGCTGCCCACCTCTGACACTCCGACACCCTTACTAGACACCCTCACTTCGGGAACAAGCTGGGATAAGGCAGGTGTCATAAGGAGTGGGATGAAGCCAGTTGTAGGGATCACTCAGGTCCTCCCCCTGCCTCTGGCTGGGCTCTAGGTATAGCACTCCTCCTGGCAATGTACCCTCCTGGTCTGTACCCTCTGCCTCTGTGCCTGGCTCTCTGGGTACACGGCCAAAGAAGCAGCTTCTGCCTGACCATTGGGTCATGCCTGTAGGAGAAACCTCTCTGGGGTCCAGAGATGACTGACTAACAGTGTTTGATGTCTGTTTATCCTTTCATGGTCTGGCGGTGCTGTTGCCCACACCATGGTCTGTACGTATTCCTGAGAACCAGTGTGGAGTCATTAGCTTGATGAGTAGTTTTCACCTGTCACCCCAAGTGGATCCTTGCAGTTAACAAGTAGCCTGTGGGGCTGAGAACGCACTTGCTATGGTATGGCTTAGAGAAATCTGTGATCTTTGCTTGGTGAGGAAAAAAAAAAAAAATTGAGTTTGGAACCACTTCCTCCAGGCAGCTGGTCCTGATTTCTCTGCGTCATATTCTCCACATTATACTGCCTCTACTTCCACCCCTATGACCAGCCAAGCTCCTCCTTCTTCCCTGTTCTCACCACTGGCCTATCTCTTGTTTTACAAAATCACATCACATTAGAATTGGAAAGGATCTTATTTTTCTCTACATGGTATTTTCCCCTTGATTATACAAAAAAGAAAGAAAGGAAACTTGGGAAGTAGGAGAAAATATAAAAGAGAGAATAAAAATCACTCTCATCCCACCCCTCAGAGGAAACAAGAGTTAGTGTTTCTACTTCTTTCCAATCTTTTCTTTAGACCTGTTTTTTCCTTGTGGAGATCATATTGTATTTATAATTTTGTATCTTGTTTTTAAATTTTTTAAGTTATATAACCTAGATGTGGTAGTTAAAGTTATGTATCAACGTTCCTGGGTCTGGTTTTGAGTGGCTGGGCAGCTGGATACAGTGATTCCCTGTGATGAGACTGGTAATAAGCTCCATGGTGGAATCTACTGGAACAGCTGAGCCTTAGGGATGTGGTCTGCTTCTAGAATATAAGGAGATGTGTTAAGAAAGGTCTGCAGCTTTTTGGCACACTTGGACCCTGCAGGTAGCCGAGTCTTGTCAGCAGCTTGCCATGTTTCCTGCTGGTCTTGGGACTGCCTCTGGACTTGAACTAGTGGCCTGCCATGTTGTTTGGTACTCTTGGGACTGGGCCATTTTATTTATTGACCTTGGGTTTGTCAGCCTCAGCAGCCAGCAGTTGCCTGAATGAAGAGATGCCTCCAGCTTCAGTGGGCTGGGAGAAAGAGGCAGAGCTGAAGCCCAAGGTCAAGGGTCTTTCATCCAACCCCTAGAGCTTGGCACTTTGAACTCAGACTTCTAGCCTCCAAAACTGTAAGAGGATAAACTCCTGTTTGTTAAAGCCATCCTATTTGTGGTATTTTCTGTTACAGAAGCATGAAGTACCCAAAACATTAGGCATCTAATATCATGGCCCACCCCAAGCCTCCAAACCCTGCAGTGGCTCTTTCCTCAGCTTCATGCTGGACTGCACCTGAGACCCTCCCTAGGGATCCACTGGGCGGCAGGGCCCAGCATTGCTCACAAGGGGTCCAAACAAGGGGAAGGAACACATGTCACAGGCCAGGAAGCTGCAGGTTTTGGGAACAACTGGGAACTCTCACCCCTGACCTCAGGCCCCTTGCATCCTAAGATGTGAAGACCAAAGGGTCCCTGGGGGTTCCATAGGCCAATGCTTTCATCTCAGCTCCCTCGCTTGCAAAAGGGGGTGGTGCACTGCCCTTGCTGCCCTACGGAGCACTGGAAAATAACAAAATAAGAAAGCCTTTGTGAAAGTACATTAAAAACTAGAAGTGTTGTTCCCTTACGGGGTTGGTTCTTAAAGCCATTGATGCTGCTGACCTTGAATTGGACATGGGTTCCAGCCAGGAAAGCACTAACCTGTAACTGCTGGAAAGCTACAGCCTGCTGGAGCCCTGTCTGGCCACATGGAAACACAGGCTCAAGGCTGCTGAAAAATGAACTAATATCCTGGATCTGGTACCTCAGAGAAGATGGCATGGAAAGTAGAAGAGAGAGAGAAAGGGAGGAGGTGGTAGCAAGACTGGGTTGACAAGCATCCCTGTACCGCCTCTGCCTGGCCTTGTGTTCTTGGGAGGGTTTCTTTCTCTTTTTTCTTTTTTTTTTAATTGTGATTTGGGTGAAAGTTTACAGAGCAAATTCACTTTCCATACAGCAGTTCACATATACTTTGTCTCGTGACATTGACCACAATTTACCACAATGCAACAGCTCCCCTCCCACCTCCTCCCGATAGTTACCTCTTCCTTGTGTCCATCCCTCCATGCCCTCCTGCCCCCTGAGCTGTCTCCCTGTGTATAAACAGCCCTTCTTTCTCCCATGATTGTTCTCTCCAAGGAGTGTATCTACCTCAGGTAAATGTTCAGCTCCTATGCCTGTCTTTTGCTTGGCTGGAAGCCATAGGTGTGGGTTCAATTCCAGACCTGAAGGGCAGCTAGGGGCCATAGCTAGTCTTAGTGGTTCCACCAGGCTCTATCACATCAGCAAACCTGGTTCTTGGGAGGGTTTCTTAACCTCTCTGTACCTCAAGGCTCCATCAATACAATAGGAATCTCCCTTCCTTCTGCTGGGGCTCATGAAACAAGAAGAGCCCTGGATTCCGAACAGACCTATTTTGCCATTGAATTGACTCCAATTCATGGTGACCACATGTGTGTCAGAGCAGAATTGTGCTCCGTGGGATTGTCAAGGGTTGACCTTTTGGAAATCGATCACCAGGCTTTCTTCTGAGGTGCCTCTGGGTGGACTCAAATCTCTGACTTTCAGTTAGCAGCTGAGTGTCCCCCCATGGACTCCCTTCCAGTTCTCAGGGCCCTGACTCTGCAGACCTTTCTAGGGCCAGGGTGCCAGGAATCACCCTCTCAATCTGCTTCTTTTCCTCACCTTGTATCCAGCAGGAAGTCCTGCCGGTGCTGCCTCCAAATCATACAGCAAATCCGACCCCTTTTGCTCATGCCCACTGCCTGCACCCTGGCCAGCACCCCTTCCCTGGATGACCACTGCAGTCTCCTAGTGGCCTCTCTGCTTCTCCCCTGGCCTCCCTCTGTCCACTCTCCACTCAGCAGCCAGAACCAACCTTAAAAATCAGATCATATCACTCCCCTGCATAAAACTCTTCAAAGGCTTCCTACTGCTTCGGGAAAACATCCAAGCTCCAAAACCATGGCCTACAAGGATCTAGGTGATCTGCCTGGCCCTCTCCTTGTCTTTCCCCATCATTCGCTTGCTTTAAGCAAGCAGCCTCCACACTGTTCTGTAAACCTGCCAAGCTTACACCTACCTTGTAAACCTGCCAAGCCTCCACTCCTGTGGTATACTTCGTCTGAACCTCACTTAGTTGGCTCCTTTTTATTATTAAAGCTTTAAATCAAATGCCACCTCCTCCTCAGCTGTGTTAAACCAAACCAAACCCACTGCCACTGAGTCGATTCCTACTCATAGTGACGACTCACATTGAGTTTCCAAGCTGTAAATCTTTATGGAAGCAGATTGCCCCATCTTCCTCTGGCAGAGTAGCTGGTGGGTTTGAACTGCTGACCTTCTGGTTAACAGCTAGATGCCTTACACACTGTACCACCAGACCTCCTCATCTATGTTATTACCCTCTTAAATGTTGCCCCTACCTGTCTCCATCCCAGATACTCATATCAACTGTTTAATGTTCCTATTATCTGATTTACCTGTTTGGTGCCTGTCTTTCCCAAGAGAACGGAAGCTCCCTGAGGGGTTATCTATCTCGCTCACCACAGCACCCCCAGTTGACAGCGCAAAGAATAGACAGTGGGTGGTCAATAAGCATGTGGCTGATAAATGAATCCCCAAGCCCACCTGGTTCCGGAAGGTCAAGGCCACCACGCCACCAATGAGCTCGATGATGAGGCAGATCCCAAGGATGTACATGAACTGAAAAACAAGATGGAGAGATTCACCCAGAGGGAGGGGGAAGACTCACGGGAGGTGCAGAGGAAGCGGTGTCTGGTCTGAGGTCTAAGCACAAATTAGTCACAGCCAGAGTCATCTGGCTGAGCTCTGACCAGCTCCTGGGTCTTTGCCTTCTTCCTCCTATGGGAACACAGGACATGGACAAACATCCCCTGGAAAAGCCCATCTGTGGAGCCCATGGTCAGGAAGAATGACTCAACATCTCAGCCAGATTGTCGACGTTTATCCCAGGGGTCCTGACTGGGTCCAGGTGGGAAAGCACCCAGCTGCCCCCATGGGGAGAATCTTGCCTTGCTCTGGCTGGGCCAAGAAGCCAGGACCTGCTTGATGGGTAGACTAGGGCAGCAATGACAGCTTGCTATACAAGGACCCCCAGAGGTGGGGTGTGTGAGGAGGTGCCTGAGGCTCTGAGGATACGCACCTCATCCCTACCTACCATTTATTGGAGAAAAGGCATTGTTCAAACTGAGTCCAACAACTTCCAACCTCAGGCAGCACCAAGACCCTGCTTATAGGTGCTTCCCATCTGAGGGGAGACATGAAGCCAAGACAGGCACATCTGTGTAGAGTGAATAGATGCTGGTTTTGGGGAGTCATCCCTCATTCCAAAGTAGGGGGTATGGGGAGGGCGGACTTCACCCACTGACACCAGGATAGGCACATGGCCCAAACCAGGCCCATCAGAGCCTGGGTCTTTAGCCAGAGTTACCAGGAAAGATTCCCTGGAGGTCAAGAACTATCAGGACTCTGTTGGCCAGAGAATAACACTGAACGCCAGGTGGGCCGGAACAGCCCTGGCTGGGAGGGCAAGAGTGAAAGCCCAACACACCCGCACCCCTGGCCCTGCCATGGGTTCGCTGGTTACAGGAGCTCATGAAATCACCACTCCCTCCCTTGTTTGTTTTCACTTGCTCTCATTTGAAGTTTATTTCTCCCACTTGGAAATGAGAGGTCAAAGGGTTTAAGTAAACGATCAGAATAACATTTGGTAAAAGTGGAGGTGCTGGACTCTTGGGCCAGCATGAACAGATCGGCTGATCCAGGAAACCCTCTGTAGGAGCTGGTTTGAGGCCTGGCCTAAAGAACTGAGCTGCCCTCAGGGCCCAGAGGCAGTCTTCCCAGCCCCCATCACTCCCGGCCAGGGACGGTGGAGCTGACTCACCGACTGGAGAAGGCACAGGTTGTCTCGGAGGGAAGCCAGCACACCAATGAAGGAGACAATGAACATGACAACCCCCAGAAGGATGAGGATGATGGCGGGGGCAAGAAAGGCACTCTCGAGGGTTTTGTATTTCTGCCTCTCGACCTCTGCGTAGATCCCCACAGACAGCACCAGGGCCCCGATCAGCTGCAGCAAGAAAGCAGGAAGTGAGGGAGCAAAGGAGTGGCGGTGGCTTAATTTTCTCGTCTGGGGCTGTAGTGCCTGCTACAGTCAGGGGTTTCCCCATCAAGTGATTGCACAGGAGCACAATCATTTAGAGATAAGACACTCTTTTAGAGGAGGGTACTAATGGGTCAGGGGAAATGCCACAGGCTAGAGAGTCAGGGAGGAGCTCTGGTAACATAGTGCCTAAGGCATTTGACTGCTAACCAGTAGGCGGGCAGTTCAAACCCACCAGGGTTTGAAGGAAGGTTGGGCAATCTACTTCTGTAGTGATACCGCCTCAGCAACCCAACAAGGGGTTGCTGTGAGTCAGGTCCGACTCCACAGCACATAACAACAACAACAACATACTACACACAAGGAGCTCTGGTAGCGTAGTGCCTAAGGCACTTGACTGCTAACCAGAAGGCCGGCAGTTCAAACCCACCAGCCACTCCTCGGAAGGAAGGTTAGATACCGCCTCGGAAACCCAAGGAGGGGTAGCTATGAGTCAGGTCCGACTTGACAGCACATAACAACAACAACAACAGAGAGTCAGGGGGCCTGGGTTCAAGTCTCAGCTCTGCCACTTACTGACCTAGGTCCCAGATAGGCATTTGATTACACCGAGTCAGTGTTCCCATCTGGAAAACTGGTACTCATTTCTGGCCCGCTTACCCACAGTTTTTTTGTGAGGCTTTAATGAGATCACAAAGGTGGAAACACTGTCAACCCAGAAACATGGACCTCAGGGGTGAGCAGTGAATAAGCCCATCACACAGGGAAAGTCCAGAACTGTTCAGGGGACGGCATTTCGCCTAGCACCAAAAGAACAGGGCTCACCTTCAAGGTGACCACTGGAGGCTGAAGGATGAGATGGGAGGAATTTGGGGGAGACTTTTAAATAAAATCTCTCATCAATTTTTCAGGCAATGGAAAGATGACCACTTTAGCATGACATTGGGAAGACCTAGACGGTAAAGCCCCATCCCCCGCACCACACTCTTGGCCTAAAAAGTCTGAGACTAAATCCTCAGGGAGCTTTTACACTTGGCATGCTGTCCACCCCCAACCCTCAGACAAGGCTGGACCGACCATATTGCCACATCTCCCCTGGATCCTGCAACAGCCTCCTAACTGGCCCCTCAGGCCATTCTCACACAGTGTCTAGAATGACCAGTAACACCTACGTCAGAGTAGGTTTGACTCTGTGCATCTAGAATAAAGGCCAAAATCCTAGTAACAATCTAGAAGTTCCTGTAAAATCTGTCCCCATAGCTTGTCTGACGTCACTTCTAGCTCTCTGTTCTTCCTCACGCTTTCTCTGTACTGGCCTCCTTGCTGCTACTTGAACACACCAACAGTGTCCACCCTGGGACCTTTGCACTAGCTGTTCCCACTGCCCTGAATGCTCTTCATCCTCATACCCACCTGGCTCACTCCCTCGCCTCCTTCTGCTCTTTGCTCAATTGTCACTTGCTCAGTGAGACCTTATATAAAAGTGGAAGCTCCCTCTCCATGAAACTCCTGATTCCCTTTCCCTGATTTATCTTCTTCTCTGCACTTAGCCATATTTTATTTTTTAATTGCTTGCCTTCCCTTTGAGAGCGTAAGCTCTATGCCGGCAGGAGTGTTCACCTATTTGCCATGACCCTAGTGCCCAGAGCATCCTGACAGGTAGGAAGCAAGATCAACATCTGCAATCAGTGTTGCTGAATGAAGGAGAGAAGGGCTTTCTGACAGATGTCCTTGGGTTTGAGTTAGTCGCCATCTACTCAGTTTCCTACCAGTCCAAGAAGTCTTTCTGGGCCTCATGTTTCCTGAGGGCATGACCAAATCATTAGATTATATACACTGGACTTCTTCACAGAGCTGAAGACATCATGGGAGAGTAAACAGAAGCCATGGTGCTGTCGACTCAGGTTCCAGTAAATGAAATGTGGATAACACAGACACAATGTCAGGAGACAGGAATCCTTGGGTGGTGCTAACAGTTAACGCACTCAGCTGCTAAATGAAAGATTGGAAGTTTGAGTCTACCAAGAGGAGCCTCAGAAGAAAGGCCTGGCAATCTTCTTCTGAAAATTTGGGAATTAAAAATCCCATGGAGCACAGTTCTACTCAATGACAACTGGTGGTACTAGTGGTTGGAAAGACATGCTATTAGCATGGCTACCCAAGGCTACCTCTTCAGTTACTGGTCTACCTGGCCTTTAATTGGCCATTACAGGGCTCTTTACTGATCATCATGACCTTGAAGTAGCTCTTCTCACCCTCCTTCTAAACAGGACCCAGGCTGTCAGTACAGGGGACTGCCTGCTTTCTCCTAAGTTTTAACAAGTCAAATAAACAGATATAACTTTATATAAACATTCAATATTCAGAAGATTACCAGGAAACTGTCTTGCTTGGGTCCAGTGCTCTGCTGTCTTTCATATCTAAAGGATTTCCTCTTGGTTTGAAAAGATAATCCAGAGTTACTAAAACACAATGCTCCCATCTAAAAGGAATGCCTTCCCAATACGCATGGGTCAGATATATGAAAGGCGCTGACAAACTCTGCCACTTCTCAATAAACCAGCCATATCAGGACAACTGGGAGGGAAGTGACTTCATCCCAATTACCCACCTGGGTAAATTTTTTAATTTATAAAGCAGGACATACCTACAGGAAAATGGCAACACCATAGGAAATAAAATCTACCTTTGATAATAAAGATTAGCCAAACCAAACCAAACCAAACTCACTGCCGTTGAGTCAGATCCAACTCATAGTGACCCCTCCTTGGGTTTCCGAGGCAGTATCACTATGGAAGTAGATTGCCCAACCTTCTTTCCAAGGAGTGGCTGGTGGGTGTGAACTGCCAGCCTTCTGCTTAGCAGTCAAATGCCTTAGGCACTAGGCCACCAGAGCTCCCCAAAGATTAACCAGGGGCTGTCTAGTCAATTCATGCTCTAAAACCCGGAACATGGTGAAATCAATGTTCGAGGTCAGCCTAATCCCCTTGGGTCTTCTAAGAACAAGCCAAATCCATCCCATTCTGAATTACTCCACCTAAAAGGAGTTGCTTGCTAAACTGTGAACTAGACACAGCTCGACACTCCAAAGCTGAGGATTGTGGGTCAATAAGAATGCCATAGAACTAAAGTCTTTGGAGCCAAGGCACAGAGTGAACAAAATGTCTAGGGAAAGACGTGGTATACTTCAGGGTGGTAGAAATGAAGGTAATGGAAATTCTCACCCTGTCATGGAACAAACAGAACTGTGACATTTGACTGTCTCCAGAATTGATTCTATATACTTTGCAGTGTCCTCTGTTTCCTATGTTGTCTGGCAGGAGGGGCATGGGCCCTGACTTCTTCCCCCACAAGCCTACCCTCATCCTCCTTCCTGCCTGAGGCTATGTCTCTGGGGTTAAGGCATCATGCTTGGGAAACCAATGTCAAAACATCAGCACTGTCAGTAGCCCCAATTCCAAATAGCCAAGCCCTCTCCATAAAGGAAGTCAGAAGCTTCTTCTATTTTTATAAACAAGTTCCCCAGAGAAGGACATCCTAGCACCGGGACCCACTCCAGAGCAGCCTTGCTGGCAGGAAGCAAAACTTCCTTTGGTCTGACTCACTCCCACCAACTTCAAAGCATTGCCCTATGGGGCAGTTCTACACTGTCCTATAGGTCACTGTGAGTCGGAATCAACTCAACAGAAACAGGTTTTGTTACTATGTTCCAGGCGCTGCACCAGGCTATCAGGGTAACAATAGTCTAGATGGGGGGGGGGGTGTGATTAAGAGAGGCTAGAAATGACTCTCATATGTACTCCTCCAAAAACTGGAGGAACTGGTGATTCCAGCCAGCATGTATTGACCAGTACATTACTATCTTATTGCTGCTTTAACAGATTACCACAACTTTATTGTTGTTGTTGTTATGTGCCATCGAGTTGGACACGACTCATAGTGACCCCTCCTTGGGTTTCTGAGGCAGTATCACTACAGAAGTAGATTGCCTCATCTTCTTTCCGAGGAGTGGCTGGTGGGTTTGAACTACCAGCCTTCTGGTTAGCAGTCAAGTGCTTTAGGCACTATGCTACCAGAGCTCCTACCAAAATTTTAGTGGCTTAAAAAAGCAGATACTTATTATCTTACAGTTTTTGATGCCAGAAATTTAAAATTAGTTTTTTTAAGGCTAGAATCAAATTGTTGGTAGGGCTCAGGACCACAGCCCTGGGGTACATCAGGGTCAATTGACATAATATAATCCATGAAGACAATATTCTGCATCCTGATTTTGTGAGTAGCAACTGGGGTCTTAAAAGCTTGTGAGCATCCATTTAAGGTGCAGCTATTGTTTTGTCCCTATCTGGAGCAAAGAAGAGTGAATAAAATCAAAATCTCAAGGAAAAAATTAGTCCAAAGGACTAGTGGGCCATGTGAAGCCCAGCTTCTACAACTCTGAGACCAGCAGAAATAGATGGTGCCTGGCTACCACTGGTAAACACTCTGAAAGGGATCATAATAGGAGGTCCTGGAAAGAGTGGGAGAAAAATATGGGACAAAATGCAATATAATAAAAAAGACCAGGCTTACTGATCAGATAGAGACTGGTGGAACCTCAAAAACTTGGTCCTCAGACACCCTTCAAGCCTAGAGTCAAACTCATCCCTATAGCTCCACTTTCAGCCAACCACTAGACAAGCCTATAAGGTGAACAATAGTACCAGGTAGGCATGCACTCCTTAAAATAACCAATCATAGGAGATTAAAATGGCAGCATTTGCCCAGGGATAATCTCAGAAGCCAAAAAGAGATAGGAAAGAAGGATGAATGGAAACAGTAAACACAAGGAGGATGTGGGAAGAGTGCTGCTACATTGTGGGGGTTGTAATCAATGTTATGAAACATTTATGTTATGAAATGCGTATGAATTGTTGAATGAAAAAGCAATCTGCTCTGTAAACTTTCACCCAAATCACAATAAAAAGTTT